GGCTGATGTTTTTGTGTTCGTGGGGATTCTCCTTCATCTTCTTCATCAAAGATTCAACCTCTGACCTCGTCCCTTCAAAACGATTCCTTGTCTGCAAATGAAAACAAGAATGTCTTCTGCAGCGAGGAACCCCGGAGCTGGGCCACTACAGCACATGGGGAGCCCACTGTCAGCCATGGGACAGGTTTTCCTCCTGGCCTGGATTTAAGGTAGAAGAAAAGTACTACAACACTTCATCTTCTTCATCAAAGATTCAACCTCTGACCTCGTCCCTTCAAAACGATTCCTTGTCTGCAAATGAAAACAAGAATGTCTTCTGCAGCGAGGAACCCCGGAGCTGGGCCACTACAGCACATGGGGAGCCCACTGTCAGCCATGGGACAGGTTTTCCTCCTGGCCTGGATTTAAGGTAGAAGAAAAGTACTACAACAACTGGCAACTTGTTTGTGTTACAAGTTTTGCAAAGAAGTTGTTTCAGAAGAATGAAACCAGTCTGTGACCTTGGGAGAAAAAGAGTAATTTCATAACCAGAGAGGAAAGCAAAGGTGCAATGCCAACACAGAATCATGGAATGGTTTGGGTTGGAAAGGACCTTAAAGCTCAGCCAGTTCCAATCCCCTGCCATGGGCAGGGAAACATGCCAAAGCCCTGAACACACGTCCAACATGCAGGCACCAACCATGCACTGGCCATGGCTCCAGTCCACAGCCTGGAGACTGGGATGGCAAAAAGTGCTGCACTTCCCAGAAGGAACAGCGCTTTGAAACACCTGCAGAACAGTCTGAAACACTCACTAAAATCACAGGGCATGATGCCTGCCCACTGCTAGCTCCCAGGGAGGCTGGGCCTCGTGTGTGCAGTGCTGTAGGGAATGAGGCTGTGAGTACATGTAGTGTTATGTACAAAAAAGGAGCTCGCTTTCAACAACATGGTCAAAGCCTTTCCTGGCAGCAAACAGGAAAAAGGAGAGTAAACTCTTTAGTAAACATTATGGAAATCTGTGCAGGATAGTCCGAGCACTGGGCACATGGTGCAGCGGCACCGGCACGGGGCACACTCACGTTCTGGATGCTGATGGTCAGCTCTGTCTTGAAGTCACTGAAGTCCTTTGCAAGCTCATAGCCATGGTGATAGAAGGTGAAGAGCCCCTGCAGAAAGGCCAGCAGCTGCGTTGGGGTAAAACAGATCGAGACGGTCAGTACAGACCCAGAGCTGCTTTCAGAGCCCCCGCTGCCAAGGGCAGTGTCCCTGCAGCTCCCAAGGCAGAGGGTCCTGCTGGCAGTCCCAAGGAGGATGCCCTGTTCCTCGTTTCACTTCCAAAACCTCCTCTGAGCAGACCCCAAAGCTGAGGTTGTGCTTCCTTCTCCCAAAGGCACGGCAAGCCCCAGCGCCAGGACCCTTCCCCACCGCTGCCTCCTCTCCCTGTATCACCCAGCCCCGGGGTCGCTGACAGCAGGGCTGGGAGGTGTTACG